AGTAACTAGCTTTATTTTCTCATAGTTTAAGGTTCACTAAAGATTACTAACGGTCAGCAAAATTTTTCTTACTCTTAGATTTTTTGTAAGAAAACAAATCCAAAAAAGTTTCCGGTTTTACCCTACTTTCCCCTATATTGTAGAAATTATACATAGGCATGTCAACGTGCTTTTTGCCATGCAAGTTTCATAAATTTACTATTTTGGTAAAAAGATATAATATTTAAGCTAAGAATCAAATTATAATTAATCAAATTAATCTAAATATTTAACTTATCTTCCGATTGGAAGATTTGAATTGCTCAACTTCATGACGTATAGTTGCTGGCAAGAGATACTATCTTACATGTAATAATAGCAGTACAACGTCTTGTATTATGTCCAAACTTTTTAATGATAGCAAGTTCATTTTCGTCTTTCAATTCATTACAGATATACTGTAGTTGCTCCAATAAATTTCTCATCTACTATCACAAAAATAAATAACACTGTTTTGAAAAAGTTGGAAAAGATTGTAATATACAGGGTGATCTTGAAATAGTTGCTCAAAATCAGGAATTGGATTGGGCTCGTCCTAAGGATGAAAAAAGTTCTCATAAACGTTAGTCCAAAAACGCATTCTTCAGGAGTTACGACTCATTTATAATTATCAATTTCGAAGAATAAATACTTTCAAAGTTTTGATCGTACTTACTATGATTTGTGCTTTTTAATTAATGTGTTCGATAAGTAGCCTAATCGAGTGTATTATATTGTTTATGTAACTTCAATCAATAATATAGAGGAATTACGAGATCGCATTATCAACAGCTGCGAAATTATAAGATATACGCCAGGAACCTTTGAGCGTGTTAGACGGATGGAAGCGTGTGTTTTAGTTAACGGTGGACATTTTCAACAACTGCTGCAAATAAAAATAAAGTTTTTTCCTTTCATGGCCTTCCATTTTTCTGAATCAAATATTAATAATTAAATGAGTCGTAACTCATCCTGAAGGATCCGTTTTTGGACTAACGTTTATGGGAACTGTTTTTATCCTTATGACAAGCCCAATCCAATCCCTGATTTCGACCAACTATTTCAGGACCACCCTGTATAAAAATTTATTTTTGTTTGGAATATTAATTTAAACAAGTTGGTAAACAATTAACTTACATTATGAGTATTAATCCAGAACATGTTGTAGTTAATTACGTAGAAACTAAAGAATATTGCGGTAGAGCAAATTTTGATGATAAAGTCAGCAGTACATTTTGTTGTTATCAACGCTGTGAACTTCAATGATCCAATTTATTGAAAATATTGCATAAAGAAATCATTATTCTTTATGCAGATCAAAATAATAATTTGCTCTGTCATATATGCAATAATATACAGGGTGGACCAGTAACTCTTGCCACCTCGAATATCTTCGAGTCTAGAACAGTTACGAAAAATTTTTTCTTACAAAAGTTTTATATTTTTGATAAGCGTGAGCTTTTATTAATATTAAAATTAATATTTTATTAATATTAATTTAACCATTTTTTAATAAATTTTTTATGTTTAATATTAATCGACAGTCTTGTAATTTACCTTCCTAACGTTTTTTGAGCTCCTCTATCGAATTACGCAAAAAAAATAGTCGTCCCATTTGAAAAAGTGGAGTTAACCTTGAGATCTCCGAAGCACCCCCACCCCGACGAACTGTGTTACCATCACTCGATGGCCCCTTTGAAACTATAAAACTTTTATAGGAAAAAATTTTTCGTAACTGTTCTAGACTCGAAGATATTCGAGGTGGCAAGAGTTACTGGTCCACCCTGTATAACAACATAATGAAACTATAATAATTATGTGTTGCAGTTGAAATAGATTTTATTATCAATAATTAAGTATAATTTGATCATGTTTTATAAATGCATGAAAGTAAACGGTTGCTATAATTAGTAATGATGTTTGTAATGCATATTCCATAATAACATAAATAAAAAGATGGACATACCTGAAATACAACAAAGCTTGTCAGAATACCAAAACACAAAGTTGTCTGAAGTTGACTAAATTTTGATTTTCGATATGGCCATAAACCGATTGCAAGTAGAAGAATCCGATTAAGATTAAAATGTTGAGTCTCAACGCAGATCATTACTGTACGAGCATAAAAACTGGACTGCGGAAAAATTAATAAAGATTCGCCTCTGTACCCTTTTTTTTCAAATTAAGTGTTCTTGAACTTTAACCGTTTTTTTAGTATAAATTCTGTCATAAATTATCTAATTCTGGATAAATACAAAATTGTGCGAAATATTGTGGAAACAAAGCACTTGTAATTTACCATTCACACAGAGAAACACACATTCAAGTACCTTATCGATCGAAGTCGGCGCAAGCGCAATCGCTCTTTTCTTAGATATTGCCGTTTCAAGAGCCTCATTCTTGTGCGTGCGCTCGTGAAAGGAGTTTGTTTTTCTAGAGAAACAAAGTCGATCCGCTTTAGGGCTATCGCACACAAATTGACATACATGCTATGTAAATCAATATGGCGATTTTATGTTCGATGTTCATTGGTCCAGACGGTCTTATGCTATGCATATGCAGCTATGTCAATTTGTGTGCGATAGTCCTTACATGTGCTGACAAATTAGTCATTACTTTTCCAAGGTACGTCTCACATGACATATATATTTTATATAATTTTAAAATTTTATGTAATATATCATTTGCGCGTGCGTTTTGTTTCATAGAGTTTTAAACTGATTTGCATCTTTTTCAAGGTTTGTGTCTTTTTCAAGACACGTCCCACATGACATATATATTTCAAAATAGATATCCATTATCGGAAGATAAATAATTGTGAATTTGTGAATTTTTAATTATCTAAACAGTGCAACAGTCAAAGAACTAAATACTCTCATCAGAGTGTATAATTTATTTCATGCAAAATTTATTAAAGTCACAATACATTCTTTCAAACGTGGAAAATATTTTGTGAGCGATTTCTATTAATGTATCTTCGTATCATTGCTGAGTAGAATACATAAAGGTAAAATAAGACATCGATGCTTTTGTTAACTATAATGATAAATAACGTTTTTAATATTTATTACATTATATGGAATATGTTAAGCTATAAATATAGCAATTTATGTTATGCGATATTCTTACCGTGGCGAAACACTGTAACGATATTACAAATAATCCGGCGACGTTCAAGTGGAAAGTCTTACTGCCTTTTTGCAAAATAAAGAGTATCATTTTCTGTGCATGTAATGGTGCCATATACCATCGAACATTGTATCTATAAAATAATATGATAAATAATGATAAATTACTAATGAAGAAAATATGTATTTTATACTAATATACATATATGGAATTGATATATGAACAACACATAAAATTGTTTCTTACGCGGTAAAGTATACATAATTACTGTAATTTGTAACCTCTTGTCCGGCATAATTAGTTAGAAACAAATATAAGAGGATAATAAATACAATTAACACGTGTAATAAAACTGCTTCGTTATTCCTAAGCGATATATTCCGAAAAATCTAAAATCATGGTTGTGATTATCATATTTCCTATGTAGATTCGATTCCGATAATTTTGGCGCCACACTTTGACTGTAATTTTTGAAGGCATTTTTCATGCGGAATATTTCACAAAACATAAAATTTAAATTTCAACAAGGGAAAACATTACATTACAACAAAAAACATTTTATTGGAACAGAAATCATAACAAACAACAATGTAAACAAAACATATTATACTTCTTTTATTATCTGTGTACATTTAATAAAGCGCACCTTATCACATTTATTTATTTATGCGTAGTAAATCGAACGCGTGGAGGAGTTCTGTCTCTTCCCATGCACTCCCACCACGAAAAAGTTAACCTAACTCAATCCATATCCAAAGGTGAATAATTATCTAAAATAAATATTCACCCTTTGAACATGGGTTGGGTTAGATTAATTTTCTTTCGGGGTAAAGGTGTAGGGGAAAGGGCAGAACCCCTCCCCCGCCCACGTGTACAATTTACTACACATAAATAAATAAATGATGTCTGAAAATAACATACATATAAAAATAAAAATAAATTTAAGAAAGGCTCCGAGTAATTAATAAAACTAAAATTAAGATATAGCAGGTCAATAAGAGTCGGCGCCGTATGTCAGGCGTAAATAAATTAAAGTGCAAATTAATTAAAGTACATACGATGGATGTTTATTAGTTTATAGTCAATTAAACAATTTAAATCAGAAACGAACGTTTTGGTCCTTTTTTTGGGCCTTCATCAGCGCAACGGAAAATTCTAATAAATACAATGTCAAATCAGTCAGATATAAAATTAAGCCGCGGTCAAACATCTAAATAATTCTACACAGGATATGTCCCTCCATGATTGGCAAACCACAGAGGCGTGAGATATCCATCCGTAATCCCCCTCAATAGCACCAATAAAATATTGTTAAATGTGTAAAAATCTGCAAATTCAGAAGCATGGAGAAACAAAATCCCGACAGAAACAATAAAACACTAAAAAGGAGAACCGCGAAGACTTATACGTATATGACATTTTTTTATGCACTCACTTAGAACTCAATGAGAAAATCAGTTATTGGATAAAAACAGACAATTATAATAAAACTAAAAAATAGGTTGAAACCGCACAAATAACATTAAATTAAAATGTATACAAAGTTGTGGCGCAAGAGACTAACGGTGCTCACAACGTTTTACCTTACAATGATTAATCTCGAATTCAATAACAAAAATATTTAAATAAAAGTATATGTCCGAAGCGGTATATACAAACATCAATATTGAGATCAACTTTTAGCAAGTTTTTCAATCGCATTCACATAAGTTTCATGTAAGCATTCTGTATCCGTCTGCAAATTCAGGCTATTCCTTCGTCTTGTTATGTATAACATCTCAGAAATGAGGCGTTTATTAAAATATGACTCTTTATCCAAGATCTCAACCTCATTCCATCTAAACTCATGATTATAGGATAGTTTGTGTCCGCTTAATTTTATATTTTAGACTCTGCGTGACCGCCTTAAATTTTTAATAAATAACTCTATAACTTCTAAGCAAGATCCTTTAAAAGAAACTCGGGAAGAAAAAAAAATTTTCAAATATTTTACAATCTCGTTTGTTCCGTCCATATCCGAACAATTTAAAAATATTGTAAAAGACCTCGACGTCAGACCATCTTATTTCAGCTTTAATAAACTGCATCGGTTTATTAAAGTGCATAAAGATTGTTTACCGAAGTCATCTACTATTAACGTGATTTATAAAATCAACTGTAATGACTGTGATGTCTCCTACGTGGGCCAAATAGGTAGGAAATTAGAAACAAGGATTGCCAGCCATTCGGTAATAGATCACAAACTATCTTATAATTATGAGTTTAGATGAAATGAGATTGAGATCTTGGATAAAGAGTCATATTTTAATAAACGCCTCATTTCTGAGATGTTATACATAAAAAGACAAAGGAATAACCTGAATTTGCAGACGGATACAGAATGCTTACATGAAACTTATGTTACTGCAATTGAAAAACTTTCTAAAAGTTGATCTCAATATTGATGTTTGTATACATTGCTCCGGACATATACTTTTATTTAAATATTTTTGTTATTGAATTCGAGATTAATCATTGTAAGTTAAAACGTTGTGAGCACCGTTAGTCTCTTGCGCTACAGCTTTGTATTCATTTTAATTTAATGTTATTTGTGCGGTTTCGACCTATTTTTTAGTTTTATTATAATTGTCTGTTTTTATCAGATAACTGATTTTCTCATTGAGTTCTAAGTGAGTGCGTGCATAAAAAAATGTCATATACGTGTAAGTCTTCGCGGTTCTCCTTTTTATTGTTTCTGTCGGGATTTTGTTTCTCCATGCTTCTGAATTTCCAGATTTTTACACATCTAACAACATTTTATTGGTGCTCATGAAGGGGATTACGGATGGATATTTTATCCGCCTTACGCCTCTGTGGTCTGCCAATCATGGAGGGACATATCCTGTGTAGAATTGTTTAGATGTTTGACCGCGGCTTAATTTTATATCTGACTGATTTAACATTGTATTTATTAGAATTTTCCGTTGCGCTAATAAAGATCCAAAAAATGGACCGAAACGTTCGTTTCTGCTTTAAATTGTTTAATTGACTATAAATTAATAAACATCCATCGTATGTACTTTAATTAATTTACTCCTGACATACGGCGCCGGCTCCTATTGCCATTCTATATCTTAATTTTAGTTTTATTACATACATATACTTCGTGAAAATTCTTTTGTTAATAACTTTTTAATAAACAGCGATGGAATCTTTTAAGTATTTTTTCTGTTTTTCCGGTTAAAAATCCCTTCGGAAATCATAGTCAAAATGTGGCGCCAAAGTTATCGGAATTGAATCCTTATGTATTTAACAATTACTCATGATAGTCATAATCATGCAATTAAAAATTATAAATATGAAGTCCGAAAGTTTGTATGTTAAGAGATATCTGATTCTTAAAATTTTCTGATTTTATAATTAGTACAATTTGGTATTGATATTATCAATTTAAAAAAAAATATTATTTGCTGATTATATTTATTTTTTTGTGAATTCTTTAAATTCGATTATTCGGATATCATAAGTATTTCGCTTAAAAATAAATTTCAAGAACATGAAAAAAGCACTTACTGCAAAAATATTCAGGCTCAAAGAAATTACACCAAACGTTAATATCAATAAAATAGAGCCTTCAAAACTAGATATCAATACGTCGGTGAACCTTCATAAAAAACAAGATATTATTACACACAAAGTGTTATATAATTGTTATCACATGCATACCAACTTCATAGCCTTGCGATGGATTTCGACGGCATAAAATATTTTTTTATTAATCATTATCTGATTTTTTAAGTTAATATTTTCGATCATTTTCGTCGACATTGCTTGCTCTATACGATAACTGTAATTAAGTCGTTTGCTGTAGTTCTCCCAAAATTGTATTGATAAATTTAAACACAACTAAAAATTTTGTTTGCAGCCATATATTTCATGTTCTTTTCTAAATTTATTATTTACCTTGCAATTTTAAACATTCCACATATGTGTATAATGCATCCTAAAATCATTGTTCCTGTCGCTGTCAATGTAGTCGCCCCAATACACATAACTGCATTTGTATGCAAGTAAATTAAATAGAAATATTTTTTTTGATCGACAAAGTATTCAGTCGTAATTTGTATTGCCTGACTCTGTATTTGAGACTCATTCATGTGCAAAATAGTACCAAGAATCTGTGGCCAAATAGGTAGTAAAATAGCAAAAAATGTACTGCATATGGCGAACACTAAAATCATTTAAATGAAACAATTGTAAACGTTGTTCTTTTTATTTTATGACATATTTTATTTATGCATAATTTTCTCTCTCCCTCTCTCTCTCCCTCTCCCTCTCCCTCCCTCCCTTTCTCTTCCTCTCACCCTTCCTTCCTCCCCCTCCCTCTCTCTTTCTCTTTCTCAAATTTCACTGTTCTTCAAACATCCTTCTGTCTTGATATTTTTGCAAAATGTTCACTATATGATATTTTGTATATTTTTATATGTATGATAATAACAAATAGTAAACATGTTGTATACAGGATATCCTAAAGTTTCATGTCCAAACTTCGGGAGCAAGTGAGGGATCAATAAACTACGAGAAAAAATCCTTTAGAGATTTGCTCGTTTTTGTTTTGTTTTGGAAAAAATCGCAAAAGAGCAAATAAAAGTTTTGGCAATTATTTACATTAACGGATACCTTGCCAATGATCTTGACCTTGACATATGTTGTCAAGGACATGACCCTGAGTAACTTTTTCTTATAACTTATAGTGTTTTGAAAAGCTCTCGTGATAAGCTACAAGAATATGCAAAAATATATAGGGTGTTCTATTTAAGTTTTTTAAGTTAATATTTTCGATCATTTTCGTCGACATTGCTTGCTCTATACGATAACTGTAATTAAGTCGTTTGCTGTAGTTCTCCCAAAATTGTATTGATAAATTTAAACACAACTAAAAATTTTGTTTGCAGCCATATATTTCATGTTCTTTTCTAAATTTATTATTTACCTTGCAATTTTAAACATTCCACATATGTGTATAATGCATCCTAAAATCATTGTTCCTGTCGCTGTCAATGTAGTCGCCCCAATACACATAACTGCATTTGTATGCAAGTAAATTAAATAGAAATATTTTTTTTGATCGACAAAGTATTCAGTCGTAATTTGTATTGCCTGACTCTGTATTTGAGACTCATTCATGTGCAAAATAGTACCAAGAATCTGTGGCCAAATAGGTAGTAAAATAGCAAAAAATGTACTGCATATGGCGAACACTAAAATCATTTAAATGAAACAATTGTAAACGTTGTTCTTTTTATTTTATGACATATTTTATTTATGCATAATTTTCTCTCTCCCTCTCTCTCTCCCTCTCCCTCTCCCTCCCTCCCTTTCTCTTCCTCTCACCCTTCCTTCCTCCCCCTCCCTCTCTCTTTCTCTTTCTCAAATTTCACTGTTCTTCAAACATCCTTCTGTCTTGATATTTTTGCAAAATGTTCACTATATGATATTTTGTATATTTTTATATGTATGATAATAACAAATAGTAAACATGTTGTATACAGGATATCCTAAAGTTTCATGTCCAAACTTCGGGAGCAAGTGAGGGATCAATAAACTACGAGAAAAAATCCTTTAGAGATTTGCTCGTTTTTGTTTTGTTTTGGAAAAAATCGCAAAAGAGCAAATAAAAGTTTTGGCAATTATTTACATTAACGGATACCTTGCCAATGATCTTGACCTTGACATATGTTGTCAAGGACATGACCCTGAGTAACTTTTTCTTATAACTTATAGTGTTTTGAAAAGCTCTCGTGATAAGCTACAAGAATATGCAAAAATATATAGGGTGTTCTATTTAAGAAATTGAAGGTGACCTTCACGTGACCTTCAAGCAACTATTCAAGGTCAAATTAATGACACCACCTTATGTCCCTCTTGAAACCATACAACTTTTGTCTGAAACATTTTTTTCTAAAATGCATTGTTTACGAGATATTTGATTGTTTCCAGACTTTTCTAACACCCTGTATGTAGGCATGTCAACATGCTTTTCACCATGCAAGTTTTATAATTTTATTATTTTGATAGAAGGGTATAATATTTAAGATAAGAGTCAAAATTTACTTCATTAGACTAATCTAAATATTTAACTTTTTTCACCATTGGAATCTGCTCAATTTTATGACATATAATAGCTGGCAAGAGATACTGTCTTACATGTAATAATAGTAGTACAACGTCTTGTATTATGTCCATACTTCTTAATGATAGCAAGTTCATTTTCGTCTTTTATTTCATTACAGATATATTGTAATTGTTCCAACAAATTTCTCACCTACCATCACAAAAATATTTAACGTTGTTTTGGAAAAATTGGAAAAGATTTTCATGTATAAAAATTTAATTATTAAAAGTTATTATCAAAATAATTTATTTGTACAAGTCGGGAAACAATTGACTTACATGATGAGTGTTAATCCAGAACATGTTGTATATAATTACGTAGAAATTAAAGACTATTGCAGTAGAGAAAACTTTGATGATAAAGTCAACAGTGCATTTTGTGGTTATAAGAGCTGTAAGCTTGAACCAATCAATTTATTGAAAATGTTGCATAAGGAAAACATCATTCTACATTTTACTAAGAAATTAAAACAATAATCAGTTTTAGTATATAATAATATATAGTAACGTAATGAAATATTAATTATTATATATAGAAATGTATTTTATTATTAACAATTAAATACAATTTGATCATATTTAAAAATTGCATAAATATAAACGTTTACTATAAGTAATAATGTGTGTAATGTGTATTCTATAATAATACGAATAAAAATATGGACGTACCTGGAATATAACAAAGCTTGTCAAAATGCCAAAACACAAAATTGTCTGAAATCCAACAAATTTTGATTTTTGATATGGCCATAAGCCGATTGCTAGTAGGAGAGTCCGATTGAGATTAAAATGTTGAGTCTCAATGCAAATCATTACTGTGCGAGCATAGAAACTGGACTGCGGAGAAATTAATAAAGATTCGCTTCTATCCCCTCTTTTTTCTTCTTCGAATTAAATATTCTTGAACTCTTACCGCTTCTTTAGAATAAGTGCTGTCATAAATTATCTAATTAACAATAAATACCAAACTGTACAAAATATTGTGGAAACAAAGCTCTTGTACTTTAACAATTTTGTGAGAAGAGGCGATTAGGCGATCAATTTCACATGGATGGAAATTTAGGAAATTAGTATTTTACTCAGAGAAACACATTCTTCACGTACCTTTTCGATCGAAGTAGGCGCAAGCGCAATTGCTCCTTTTTCAAGTAACGCAGTTTCATGTGCTTCATTCTTGTACGTGCGCTCGTGGAAGGAGTTTGTCTTTCTAGAGGAACAGAGTCGATCCGTTTTACATGTGCTGATAAATTATAGTACAAATCTATCGCCGTCAATATATAAGGTACCGAACTCTGATTCAGAGCTTTCTACATTTTGAAACAAGCGAGATTGTATAATTGTTGCTCTTAATTAAAACACACATGCATGCTTTTATATTATTTTATATTATATCTTATTTATTGCATATTAGATCTCTTGTAATCACTTACTTACTGTTTTATATGAAGCAAAAGTTGATATTATATTTGTTCAAAAATATACACGTTAATTCCGTATACATTTATAAAATTAACTTTAAAATATTATACTATAATATATCATTTGTGCGCGCGTTTTGTTCACACTTTTTCAAGACTTATTCCACTTCCACATGATATATACAGGGTGCCAATTTGTAAACTATCAGCCGGTATATTTGGGGAACTAGTAAAGATATCAAAACATGATTTTGTGAGAATATAGGATAGCAAAGGGAACATCGAAACGCAGTATAACTGTCAAGGATTGAGTCATTCCCTACGCGCTCCTACCCCCAACTTTATAATTTCAAATGGCACTACCCCCTTTGTGATACCTCAAATTAAAGGTCTCAACAAGTATCTCTCACCTGCACAAAAAAAATTTAAATTGATGGATCTGTTTGAATAATACGGTTTGATTGAAAAAGTTTTTATTTTTTAGGGTTTTAAATGAGAAACGTTTTATTAAATTTTTGTTTGTTCTCATAAAGTATTGTAATTGTAGTAAAGGAGTGGAAACAATTTTTATGGAAAGATTAAAGGTTGTCCATTAATTTTTATAACTAACAAGAATAAAAATCCATTTATTACAAATTTTTATTTAATTGAATGTTTGAAATGGTGTCCATTATTTTATAAACAATAATAAAGTCTGTTTTCAAATTCCGTCCTGACATTTTTTGTGACATTTGCCTGGGAATGGATCTGCATTTTCTGATTGTCGAAGTTGTTTAATCGCTGTAGGCTATAATTATTCCACAAAAGTTGTTCTTACTCCTTTACTATATAACTATATTACTATATAACTATATTACTATATAACTATAATACTATATAAAAACAAATAGAAATAAAGTAAAACGTGTCGCATTTATAGCTTTTAGTAATCACAACTTTTTCAATAAAACCGGTATCGTTCAAAAACAAAACGATCGATTTAAATTCTTCTTGTGCAGGTAAAAAGTACTCGTTGAGACTTTTAATTTAAAGTATCACAAAGTGGTAGTGCCATTTAAAATTTTTAAGTTGAGGTAAGGGGCACATAAGAGACGACTCACTCTTTGACAGTTATATTGCGATGTCTCTCTTGCTATGCTATATTCTCCCAAACCGTGTTTTAATATCATTACTAGTTTCCGAGATATCACGGCTGACAGTTTTAAAATTGACATCCTATATTTTATAATACAAAATAGATCCATTATTGAAAGATAAATAATTGTGAATTTGTGATTTATTAGTTATCTAAACAATGCAACAGTCAAAAAACTAAACGTTGTTCTCGGAGTGTATTATTTAATTTATGTGAAATTTATCAAACGTGGAAAATATTTTCCGGGCGATTTATGCTAGATAGTATATCTTCGCTATCATTGTTGGGTAGAATACATAAAGGTAAAGTAGGACATTGATGGAGTAGGACATTTTGTTAACTGTAATAATAAATAACGTTTCTAATATTGCACTATGGAACATGTAAGCTATAAAGTGGAGCCCCTCCGTAGGGAGGGCGTAACACACTGTGTCCATGCATACACTTTCCCATCCACATAACAATTGTGAGGTGAACCTCGCTTCGCGTTGTAAAGTATATGCGTGGACACAGTTCCGTCCCCCCTACGGGGGACTCCACTTCCGGATAACCTAACCCAAATCTATTTTCAGTTTTAAAAGTAATGTTGAAAACATGACTCAGAAATTCATGTAGTCGCAGTTGAAAACTGTTAACAAACTGCGAGAAATAGGTGAAACCGATTATTGACAAAATATCTATAACCATGTACTTATCCCGTAAATGTAAACAAATACTTTTTCCATGTCTACCCTATAATAAATACAACATACACAAACTTCACTTTTCCTAATATTACTTTATAATACCTGAGAAAAAGTATTAAAACTATGAAACTTCAATTTGTTATATTTCCTAAACCAATGCCGTCCCCCACTTATTTCTTGCGATGAGTTACTCAGAAGAACCTTTCCTACAACATATTTAAGTGGCAATAAAATCGAAGGTGTGTTATCTTGGGGTGATTACGATAATTACGGCCCCCTATTTGAAAGATCGTTTCTAAAGACATTTTTGACGAGGAACACGGGAAAAATAGTAAAAAAAATTTCCGATCAATAGTTTTCGAGATATATCACTTTAAAGTATTGGACATGATAATAAAGCTTTATAAAAATGGATACGGATACAGTAGTACATACGATTCTAAGCTACACATGGAAGATACTCGCGACAGTAATCTTCACAACATATGTCAAGCTCAAGATCATTGGGTCCGTTTTGTAAACGTTTTATTATCATGTCCAATACTTTAAAGTGATATATCTCGAAAACTATTGATCGGAAATTTTTTTTACTATTTTTCTCGTATTTCTCTTCAAAAATGCTTTCAGAAACGACCTTTCAAATAGAGGGCCGTAGTTATCGTAATCGTGCCGTTATCTTCTATATTCTATGGAGTTTTACCAAAACGATAAAGATTCACTTTTATCGTCTCTTTTTGCTTTTAAATTAAGTATGTATTCTTGAACATTTTCCGCTCTTTTAGAGTAAATTCGATCATAAATAATTTAATTCAAAGTAAGTACCAAATTCCACAAAATATTATGGAAATAAAACTTCAGTAATTTAACTATTCTGTGAGAAAAAGCGATTAAGCGATCGATTTCACGTAGAAGGAATTTAATAAATAATGTGTATTTTGCGCAATCACCTTTTTTCCAGTGGAATGGTTCCATAGATATATTATATATAGATAGAGCTTTATCTATCTTACAATCTGCCAACATAATAAGATACTTTCTTCCCTCGCGCATGTGCAATCGTGCTTTCCTCCGACGGGCGATAAAATAATTTATTGCTGACGAGAGAATAATCTCTTTTATTTTATGTAGAAGATACCGTGTTTCATAAAAATACAATACATTTAATTTCTCGCACTTGTTAATTCTTAAATTTCTTAAAATTTTAATGCAAATTCTAAGTCCTTACAAATGATGTGCGTCTGCCATAGATATATTATATTTAGATGGAGCTTTGTGTCATCTCTGCCTTAGAGTCGCGGGTGCCAAGATAAATAGCAGATTTTCCTCCCTTGCGCATACGCATTCGTACGTTTCTCTCAGCGGACACACATCGTTTGTAAGGGCTTGGAACTTCCATTAAAATTTTAAGAAATTTAAGAATTAACAAGTGCGAAAAATTAAATGTATTGTATTTTTATTAAATACGGTATTTTTTACATAAAATAAAAGAGGTTATTTTTTTGTCAGCAATAGATTATTTTCTCGGCCTCTATGGCAGACGCACATCATTTGTAAGGACTTAGAATTTGCATTAAAATTTTAAGAAATTTAAGAATTAACAAGTGCGAGAAATTAAATGTATTGTATTTTTATTAAATACGGTATTTTTTACATAAAATAAAAGAGGTTATTTTTTCGTCAGCAATAGATTATTTTCTCGGCCGTCAGGAGGAATGCGCGATTGCACATGCGCGAGGGAGGAAAGTATCTTATTATCTTGGCATCCAGTAAGATAGATAAAGCTCTATCTATATATGTATAATATATCTATGAGCTCTGTTACACGGCACCCTTAATCGGGTTTAATAACATCCGTAGTTGTGAAACTGACCAATCACAGCTATTCCTCTGAAGAATGGAATGACTGTGATTGGCCAGCCTTCAAACTACGGATGTTATTAAACCCGATTAGGGGTGACGTGTAAACGTAGTCAATGGCGTCCGCCAAAAGAAACGTACGAATGCGCATGCACAAAAGAGGAAAATTTGTTATTTATCTTAGCAGACGCGACTCTAAGGAAAAGATGACACAAAGCTCTATCCATATATAATATATTTATGTATGGTTCACATGCTTCATTCTTATGTTTACGCTCGTAGCGAACACTTGACTTTGGAGAGGTACGTCACGACGATCCGAGTCTCACGTGTATTGGCAATTAGCTACGAGAGAAACTATTTTCTCGAAAATATTATATAAGGTATCGATGATTGTATTTGTTTAAAAATGCAAATGATAATTCTGTATACATTTGAGGCCCCAACTGTATTATTAAATATCATTTGTCGTGTGTATGTGTATGTGTGCGTGCGTGAGCGTGCGTGCGTGCGTGCTTGCGTGCGTGCGTGCCTGCGTGCGCGCGTGTGTGTGTGTGTGTGTATGTGTGTGTTGCATGCTTTCTCGAGCATATTAACATATATTATATACGTTATTGATATTGACGTATTATATATGTATATACCCAGCTAACCATTTGCTTACGAATTGTTAATAATCGGCAAACAATTCCCTGTGGAACGAGGCTGCCAAATTCAGGACCTACTGTATCCTCGAGTGCGCCCCAATTGCAACCAAAAGTTGAAATCATATCCTGATGTCAAAATGGGTACAACACCAGAGCAGATCTGTCACTAGCAGTGCGACGACAGATTGACGCAACAAATCGAGAGCAGGTTTGTCAACCGCAGACCGACAACAAATTTGCGCCAAATGCCCAGCAGATCTACGGCAATTTTCGACGACAAAAATTAGATCAGTTACAGTATTAATATATAATAATACATATTAATGTGTTAAAACATATAGGTAAATTTAAATAATTTGATTTATAAAATTAAAGATTTTTTGGACAGGAATTGCCCGAATAAGTAAAAATCGAACAATTATTTGTTCGATTTTCCAAAAATCAGTTCAATATTTGAATTATCCTATATAGGCATCGTGTCAAAAATTGAATTGATAGAGATAGATATATTACAATATTATTAGTCACATTTTGCAGGCTTTATATACACTCATGACAAAAACTTGAATACGAGTATAGATATGAATAACACGCCGCATAGCGGTAAACGACTGAACTATACTATTTCAAATAATAGAATTTTGTAATACTTTGTCATATTCTGCTTGGTTTTCGCTGCCAATATGCTATTATATTGTGCACGCCAGATCTTGCTCAGTTCGTGCCAACAATCTGATGCCAGTCTGTCAGTCATGTCAGCAAGCTTTGCTCGGTTTCCACCGCCAATTTACTGTCGGGTTATGTCGGCAACCTTTGCTCAATTTTTGCCGTCAATCTGCCAGCTTAATCGGTGATAACAACTTTCGTACCCAATTCGTAGCCTTTTTGCTGACAATAATTTGTAGCAGGCCTTGCCAAAATCTGTTAGAACAGACTTGGCTAACTGGGTACTTAACATAATATACTTAATATAAAAATTAAATAGATGTCCATTTTCAAAAACAAAATGATTGTGAATTCTTGACTTTATTATTTCATAAACAGTGCAATAATCAGAAAACAAAATTAATAACATCTTAGTGATGTATTAATTCGTTTTTCAGCATTTGTCGGTATTATATATTTTACTTTTCCAAACGTGAAATGTAAATCATAAACGATTTGTATCTAATCAATCTCTATAGATATATATATATATATATATAGATAATGTATCATCGCATTACTGCTGCATAGAATACATTACGGTGAAGTAGGACATCGATGCTTTTGTTAGCTGCAAGAAAGTAAGTCTTCTATTACATTATTAATGTGAAGCAATTCTCTGTCTCTTTAAATCCGTATACTTTAATTCATAATTTTTACCGTGGCGAAACACTCTAAGGACACTACAATCACTCCACCGATATTGAGGTTGCAAGTTTTGCTGCCTTGTAGCAGTATAAAGAGTGTCAGTTTCTGTGCATATAATGGTGCATTATACCATCGATTATTGTACCTATGAAATAATCATCACTTCATAAATTACGAATAATTAATAATGAAAGAGATATTTTACTTTTCCAAACGTGAAATGTAAATCATAAACGATTTGTATCTAATCAATCTCTATATATATATATATATATAGATAATGTATCATCGCATTACTGCTGCATAGAATACATTACGGTGAAGTAGGACATCGATGCTTTTGTTAGCTGCAAGAAAGTAAGTCTTCTATTACATTATTAATGTGAAGCATTCTCTGTCTCTTTAAATCCGTATACTTTAATTCATAATTTTTACCGTGGCGAAACACTCCAAAGATGCCACAATCACTCCGCCGATATTGAGATTGTAAGTTCGGCTACCGTTTAACAATATAAAGAGTATCAGCTTCTGTGCCTGTAATGGGGCATTATACCACCGACTATTGTACCTATGAAATAATCATTACCTGATAAATATTGATTAATTAATAATAAAAGATATATGTAGAATATATTATATATATTATATGTGCACACACAATTGCATAAACAATGTATCTATATCTTACGTTATGGAATATACGTGATTGTTGTGATTTGTAATTTCTTGCCCGGCATAGTTAGCTACAAACATATATAAAAGGATGACAGATACAAATAACAGATGTAATAAAAATGCTTCCTTATTGTCAAGCGATATATTTTGAAAAATCTAAAACACATCATTATTGTAATTATCATTTTTCATATGTACAATTACTTAGTTTACATTGAATATAATAATAATAGAGAAAGAAAATAAGCGAAAAATACGAAGAAACGATTCACATGCTAAGATTTTTTTAAATTTATAATTTTATAATTAGCATTATTTGATATTTGTATAATTAATCATTTTTATTGCTTTTTCATTTGATTTTTGTCATTTATAAATTTTTTGAATTTTGCTTATTACGAAATAGTATACATGTATGTCTGTTGCTCAACACATTAAGTTTTAAGAATTTGAGAAAAAACTTACTCCATAAATATTCAGGCTTAAAGAAATTACACCAATTATTATTAATAAGAAGAAAGAGCCTTGAAAAGTAGACGATAAAAATTCACAAAACCTTTAAAAAAATAGAATGCGATTACAATGAAATCACTATATAATTGTTATCGCATGTATACCAACTTTATAGCCTTGCGATGGATATCGACAGCATCAATTATTTCTTTATAAATCATAGTCTGATTTTCCAGATTAATATTTTTGAGTACTTGAGAGGTCATTGCTTGTTCGATGCGATAACTATAAATAATTTTTTTTTCTTTATAAATATATAGGATACATACACAAACAAATAATATTCTTTCGTATTTTTGATACCTATTTTAGATAAAAAATTACGATTTTTGATATTTTTTATGGTACAGAGAAACTAATTAGTAATTATTTGTCTTTTTAAAATAATTATTTTTATAAATTGACTTTCCATTAAAGATAGGATAAATTTAAATTTTAACATTTTTTTTTATGCATACAGAGCAATCAAAGATCAATAAAATAGATTTTTGTTTTAAATTTTCTTTAAATCGAACAGCACTTGATATCACATTCATATCTTTAATTAATTGTTGTAATCGTGGCAAAAACTTTTTAAAGATTCGTGAAATTTTATTTTAAGTCCATTACACGCTCTCCATTTTAAAATGGCGTTAAAATTGTATTGGCTTGGAGTAAAAACAAAATCTCTTTTAGAACTTTTGAAATAAGTAGTGACTTAATGAAAAGCGCCATTTAAAAATTTTTAATTGGTGTTCTCTTATTTTTTCTCGAAAGATATTGTGACTTTTGCATAATCAAAAAAATTAGTTTTTTGTTACCATGGAAAATGTCGTATTTTTGTTTAAAATAGGAAAAAAGTACGAAGGAATATTATTTACTTTATGGGCACACTATATAATTTTTACAAAATTGATTATATTGATAGATCAAAAAAAATATAAAAATAAACAAAAGTTTGCACAGTCATATTTGCATAATTATTCCTAACATTATTTTTTCACCTCGCAATTTTAAACATTCCACATGCGCATATAATATATCCTACAAGCATCGTTCCCGTCCCTGTCAAGGTAGTGGCCCCAATACAAATAACTGCGTTTTTATGTAATAAAATTAAATAGAAATATTTTTCTTGATTGACAAAATACTCAGTCACGATTTGCACTCTTTGTCGTGGCTGAGATTCATTTATATGCAAATCAGTATCAAGAATGTGTGGCCAAATTGGCAGTAAAATGGCAATAAATGCACCGCACATAACGATCGCTAAGAACATTTAAAAAAAATAGTTACATAAACTGTTATTTGTTAATGTTCCAAAATATGTTGTTTATGCATGTTTCAAATAACGATATTTTTTAATAATTATATTCCTTGATGCTAATATCATTTGTTTTCTCTAATATTTTTGGGTAATACTGATTGTGTGTGAAATTTTGTATATTTTTAATACGATAATATAATCACAATCTTATTAATAATTAAACAGATATAGAAATATATGTATACAAATACCTTCTATAGTGCAATTTTTATAATTTTTTATTTTAGTAAAAATGTGATATTAATATATGTATAAGTTAAAAATCACAAATTGACTAATTAAATTAAAATGTTTAATTTATATCGCGATTGTAATCTGTTTAATTTTACGTGCAATAATGGCTAAGAACTAACGTCTTACATATGGTTGTAAAATATTTCGCGTTATTTCCATACTTTTCAATAATAGCAATTTCATTTTTGTCTTTTAATTGGTTACAAATATCTTGAAGTTGCTCCAATAAATATTTTACCTATAATAATAATTATGATAAAAATATTCAATATTATTTTTAATTCAAAAATTTGAATTATCGCGTTTAAAAAATTTATTTATAGAAAAGATTTATTCGAACAAATACAATGAGTAGACTCAACTTACATTATGAGCATTTACTTTTTATAATTTTTATTTTAATAGAAATATGGTTAATATATGTAGGTTAAGAATCACAAAATGATTAATCGGATTAATTGAAATGTTTAATTTGTATCGCGATTGTAATCTGTCTAATTTCAAGTGTAATCATTGCTATGAAATAACGTCTTACATATAGTTGTAAAATATTTCGCGTTATTTCCATACTTTTCAATAATAGCAATTTCATTTTTGTCTTTTAATTGGTTACAAATATCTTGAAGTTGCTCCAATAAATATTTTACCTATAATAATAATTATGATAAAAATATTCAATATTATTTTTAATTCAAAAATTTGAATTATCGCGTTTAAAAAATTTATTTATAGAAAAGATTTATTCGAACAAATACAATGAGTAGACTCAACTTACATTATGAGCATTTACCCAAAAAGAATTGTATTTAATCACATAAATACTAAAAAACATTGCGGTAGAAAAAACTTTGATGATAAACTCAGGTGTGCACTCTGTAGTTATAAGTGCTGTGAGCTACAATCAATTAGTGTATTGAAGAACTTGCATTTAAAAAGACACGGTTTTTTTTATTATATTTAACAAATAATACTTGGTTTATAAAAAAAAAGTATATAACAATTTAATAAAATATCTATAATTATCGGTGATATATTACATTGTATTATCAATATTAAAATCTGATTATATTTAAAAGTTGCGTAAAAGAGCGATTGTTACGACTGATCATATGTTTAGTGCATATTGTATAATAATATTGTTAAAAATATGGACGCACCTGAAATATAATAAAGCTTATCAAAATGCTAAAGAATAAGATTATCTGAATCCGAATGAGTTTTGTTCGCTGATAGGGCCATAAGCCAACTGCAAGTAAAATATTTCTATTGAGATTAAAATATTGAGTCTCGATGCAAATCATTATTGTGCGTAGCAACAAGAAACGTGTTGGACTGCGAAGAAATTGGTAAAAATTCGCGTCTATCCTCTTTCTTTTCTTTTTTAAATTAAGTATGTATTCTTGAACATTTTCCGTTCTATTAGAGTAAATTCTATTATAAGATATTTATTTCGGAGTAAATACTAAATTGCACAAATTATTATAAAAACAGAACTTTTGAATTTAACAATTTTATGAGAAGAGGCTATTAAGCGATCAATTTTACATGGGAAGAAATTTAATAAATGTGTATTTGACACATACAGATACACACATTGTTAGATATTCGAAGCGCGATCGAAGTCGGCGCAAGCGCAATCGCCTCTATTTCCAGAGACATGGTTCACATGCTTCATTCTTGTGTTTACAGTCGTAGCGAACACTTGACTTTGAAGAGGTACGTCACGACGATCCGAGTCTCACATGTATTGGCAATTGGCTACGAGAGAAACTATATTCTCGAAAGTATTATATAAGGCTATAAGGTATCGTGGACTATATTTGTTTAAGTATGCAAATGCTAATTCCGTGTATATTTGAGGCCAACTCCATATTATTAAATATCATTCGTTGTGTGTATGTATGTGTATGTATGTTATATGCTTTCTCGAGAGATATATGACGTATTGTATATGTATATACTTAAAATAATATATTTAATATAATAGTTAAATTGATATCTATTTACGGAAACGAAATGATATTGAACTCTTGTCTTTATTATTTCATAAACAGTGCAACAATAAAAAAACAAAATAAATTTCATTATAGTAATATATTAATTCGTTTTTCAACATTTGTCGATATTATATATTTTACTCTTCCAAACGCAAAAAGTAAATCATAAACGGTTTATATGTTTAGGTAATGTATCTGCGCATTACTCCTCCATAGAATACATAACGGTGAAGTAGGACATTGATGCTTTTATTAGCTGCAAAAAGATAAGCCTTCTATATACATTATTAATGTGAAGCATTCTCTCTCTCTAAATCCGTACTATAATTTATAATTTTTACCGTGGCGAAACGCTCCAAGGATACCACGATCATTCCGCCGATATTGAGATTGTAAGTTTTGTTACTTTCTAACAATATGAAGAATTTCAGTTTTTGTGCTTCTAATGATGCATTATATAACCGACTATTGTACTTATGAAATAATCATTACCTGAAAAATAATAAATAATTAATAATGAAGGAGATATATAGTGTGTATATCTATATCTTAGATATCTATATCTTCTTGCCCGACATAATTAACTACAAACATACATAAAAGGATGATAGATGCAAATAACAGATGTTATAAAAATGCTTTATTATCTCCAAGCAATGTATTTCGATAAATTTCAAACATCATTATTGTAGTTTTATCATTTTTTACATGTATAATTAGTTTACATAGAATACAATAATGTTTAAAAAATAATAAGTGAAAAATACGAAGAAGCAATTCACATTTTGAAGTAATTTTTAAAATTTAAAATTTTATAGTTAGCATTATTTGATATTTGTATTATTAATTATTTTTATCTCTTTCTGATTGGATATTAGTCATCTACGAATTCTTAAAATTTTGATTATTACGAAATGGTATATATGTCCATTGCTCAACACATTAAGTTTTAAAGACTCGAGAAAGAACTTATTCCATGAATATTCAGGCTTAAGAAAATTACAAAAATTATTACTAATAAGTAGGGTTGGATAAGTTAATTTTTTTTTAAGTTAATAAGTTTAAAGTTGATGGCCCAAAAATTATCTAAGTTTACTTTAAAAATTTCTTAAACAAAAATTAACTCAGTTAAAGTTAATTTAAAAAATTATTAGCTTATTAAAAAGTTAAATGTTAATTATACTAAACTATATGTTTTTTACATAATTAATCTTTTAATTGTACATTTTAAATTGAACGTTTGAAATTTAGGTAATATAATATAAAGGTGTAGTCTTTTATAAGAGAGATTATGTATTTTTCCTTATATAATAATTAATAATACACATTATTTAAATATGATTTAAAAATATTTATTAAATTTTAATAAAAGTGTCATCTCAAAATGGGGATTTTGACACGACAAGCTCAGGGCAGATAGTGGGAAACGCACCTAAGAAATGGCGCGTGAGCTTGAATATCCGGGATAGTGCGGAGTTTGTTTCTGGCAGCAAATTAGATTTTTTTAATAGCGGTTTTAAAAATAAGTGAAATAAAAATACAAACACACCAAAAAACAAACAAAATACAAACGCAATGTACGAAAATTTTACTGTGGTAATGCTGAAGAACGAGCTCCAGAAAAGAGGTGCTTTTTTAAAAAGAAAAGAAGCACGTACGCTCGGCTCGAAGTTTTTCCTTTTAATGGCTTGAATCCACTTTTTGCGAAGCTGCAGATCTTTGGTAAAATCGATGTTCCTCTCTTTTTGTGCATCCGAACGCAAAATACATAGGCATAATTACTAATTTGTGTACAAACGAACGCGACCGTGTATGTAAATATGAATATTAAATTAAATAATTTACAAAAAACTTTGATAATGATAATTAATACAAAGAATAACAGGCAATAAGAGTCAGTGCGATATAAAAAACACCAAAAAAATATTAAAATATTAACTAAAGAAAGCGAACGTTTCGGTCCTTTTTTAGACCTTCATTACTAAACGGTAAGTTACATATAAACCGGAATCATAAAAAATAGTTCGGAGGCACGCGAATAAAATGTCGGTGTTGAGATATGTCATCGTAGTCAAATTCAAATGCAATCAAAAGTCATTATCCAATTGTAGAGGAACGCGCCCGAATATGGGTAAATATATTATACAGGGTGTCCTAGACCACCCGTACACCCCTTTACTTTTAAAAACTAAGCATTTTAGAGAAAAACGTTTTGAACAAAAATTGTATCGTCTTGAGGGAAACATAAGATGGTGTCATTGGTTTGACCTTGGATGGCATCGTTAAGGTCCAGTCAAGGACACCTTTAATTTCTTAAATGGAATCCCCTATTCCTTATTGCATATTTTTGTAGCTTATCTCGAGAGCTTTCCAAAACACTAAAATAAAGTATTTTTTTATTAAGTACTTTTTGAGTTATTTTAT